ATAATGAGCAGATGAAATGCTAGGATGAAATGCTGAGGAAAGGTACTCCACTCAGGAATCTCACCAGTGAATTATGAAAGCTTCTGTCTTATTTGTGTTTAGAATCTACAGTAACCTTCTACGTGATCAACGTTTATTTCTATTTCTAACATGAATCATGCTGTATTTTTTGCATGCATAGATACAAAGGGCCCCTCTTCTTAATTCAGAATTGGGAACAGCCAGCCCTCACCCCATCATTTTTGCCAGATTACCGGGGAGAACACCCTGAGACCAACAAGGGAGCAGCGGCTTCTCGTCAGAAGCTGTGGGACAACGAGCAGATTAGAAGGTGAATTTGGAACACGGATAATCCAACAGGACGCAACCAGGACTGGATCTTTCCATATCGCGAGCCCTCTGGGAAAGTGAAACACACCCATGGCATCAGAGGCACCAACTTGCAGAGATGCGGTTGCTTTCCACCCCAGTGGCTTCTGCTCCCCCAGATTGGGGGCCTTTCAGGGCTACGGAGCCACTGTGGGACTCGTGGGGGTGACTCTGCACCAAAGGAGAAGGCTGACTCGGGGTCTCACAGGACACAGAAACCTTCTGATGTGCCTTCCAGGACAGGACGACACCGGCTATCCAGTGACTGCCAACTACTAAAGCAAAAAATTCTTCCGAATGTCATTCGAATCATTCTCATTAACAGAGGTGCCTGTTCAAAGTCAATATATCATAGATACAACTTTACGTTCATTTTCAGTTAGCAATTATATATTTTCCAAAGCAGTTATGGGTATTTGTAGTCTATTCATTTTAGAAAACACTGATAAATTAATTAGGTCTATTTACGATAGTTACTAAATCACTTATTTGAACTGCCATCGTGCCTTGGCATTCAACAACACCTAAAAGAAGAACATTGAAGATGAATATTGAGAGAGAAAAGAAGGTTGATCATTAAATTTAGATTCATATTTTGATTAACTCCTCTTTCCCTTTCTCACACTCTCCCAAGCAGCGACTTAACCAACAGCCACGGCTTGCCACCAGTGAGACTAACGGCCTGTCCTTGCCCAGCCAGCGCTGTCAGTTCCTGTCAACTCCCAGCGCCTGTGAGTTCCACGGAGCTGCATGAAAGGCCCCCCTGGCAGAGTATAAACCCCGTCTCCCTCCTCAAGGAGGGAACGCCATTGCTCCTGTCTTCTCCCGTCCACCGGTCCCCGACCCACAGCCCAGGCTGCCGTCTCCTAGACCTCCAACTTTATTCAGGACCCCTGCACATGTGCACGCGTGTCCACACACCCAGCCACTACTCAACAACGTTGGAACTCCCGTCTCGTCAAGGACGCGATGTGGTATGACAAACCTGACATTTCTTACGAAGACAGAAACAAAAAGAAAGAAGTAAGCTTTACATAAGGAACACATTTCATGGCATTGAATTAAAATTTTAAGAAATGAAGGACCGTTACCTTCTTGAGTGAAAGTGAAAGCCAAAGCTCTGTTTTTTGTAGACGAGTTAGACAGGCTCTATTGCTTGCAGAGGACTTTGGTGGTTACTGGTGCAAGGATTCCATCTAGAGTTCAAACCCATAACCACGTATAAGTCACAGAACTCAGTTAAACGCATGCATCAACAAAACGGAGGTGCTTCTGGTCCTGAAGACCAAATCTCTCACACAAAACTCCCCAGACAAAACTATGGGACCATGTGACCACCACATCCAGCATTGGCCAGGACTCCCAGGAAGAGGGACAGACGGTTTCTGCCTGTTGGCCCTGCAGGTTGGAGGTGGGAGGGAGGCCTAGACACCCTGGAACAGAGAGTGTGCCATAACGGAATTCAGACAGAGAAGTCCACCCTGAGGCAGGCCAATGGTGCTCACCAGCAAGGAGGGCTGGAGGAGAGGAGGAGAAAGAGGAGGGGGAGGAGGAGGGGCAGAGACAGGGCAAGGAGGCCAGGAGGAGCAAAGAAAAACACCCCACCACCATGGGAGCAACAGTGTACTTAGGACGCGGTGTCTCACAAGTCCAATGCAGCAGCTCTTTGACCTAGAGGATCCACCCTGCAGAATGTCTACATGAATAAATAAAGCCGCTAACCCTAGCCACGAATGACCCCTCTTGGCCAGGGATCCCCAACATACCCTAAGTCATTTTAGCCATAGGGGAAAGGAGTCAACCCATCTTATCATGTCCTCCTCCTTTTGGAGATACTGCTGTGTAACAATAAGACACTAATACTAAGAGGCCTATCCACCGGCCGATTAACGTTGATTTCTACTAGAAACCACGGAGGTCATAGTAGAAACACAGAAAAGCAAAAGAGAAAAAGAACAATATGAACCCAGAACGTATCCCACCAAAACTATCTTTCGCAATGAAAATTCCAAACATGAACCATTAAATATACTGGAACACCCCCAAATCAAAAAAGAGCCTCAGCAACTACAACCATCTCAACCACGCACTGAATTAACGTAGAAAGTGATGCATTGACTCAGACGAAAGCTTAAATTATAAACTTCTAGAAGAAAACACAGGAGAAAATCTTTGTAATCTTCAGTACAAACACCACTTATACTGATCCACAAAAGTAACAATGAAATAGAACTAAAATAAATGTGAATTGCATCAATTTAAAATATCCTCTGAAAGGAAATGTTATACAGAAAAGATGCTGTTAACTGGGAAAAATATTACAAACATGTATCAGACATAAAGGACAATATACAGGATAAATAAGAACTTCTCAAAACTTCAATAAGAACAACCAACTTAAATCAGCATATTTTCCATTCTGTAGCCTGTTCGCTAACCTGTTGTGATATCTTGCTGTGCAAGAAAGCTTTTTATTTACTGGTTCCCATTTTACTTATTTTTTGTTGCATATTCTTTTCAGGTTACACAGCAATTTTTGCCTAGGCTAAATACTAGAGAATTTTCCCTATTTTTATCCCTCTAAATGTTATGTTTCAAGCTTACTTTAAGTTTAATCCATCTTGAGTTAATCTGGCTAGACATAGGGATCAAGTTTCATTCTTGGTATGTGACTGTCCAGTTTCCCAGCACTCTTCCCAAGTGTGTGGTTTTGTTTTTTTTTTTTAGAGACAGAGTCTCACCTGTGCCGCAGGCTAGAGTGAATGCCATGGCATCAGCCTAGCTCACAGCAACCTCAAACCCTGGGCTCAAGCATCCTCACCTGCTCAGCCCTCCCAATAGCTGGCTACAGGCATGCACCACCATGCTGGCTATTTTTACTATATAACTATATTTACAAAACAAATTGATATCACTAATATATGTACATTGGTATAAAAGTTGATTGTGTTTACTCTTTTTAACAATGTTAAACCAGAGTTTGGGTATTGTATTCTATAGTAGAGAGGATAAGTAAGGCAAGCTCATTCATGAAAAATCAATTTGTGACTTACCAAGAGGGACTGTTATATAAATTGTTAGTCTGAATATCAATAATTTTTTCTGTCATTTGTATATGAAACAGATTTTACAGAAATTTATACACACAGTCTCCTGTTTAAATTTTTTTTTGAACTATTCATCTAGATCAGTTTTCTCAATCAGGTTGGTTAGACTCTCCATGGACATTTAGCAATGTCTGGAAACTTTTTGGTTGTCACAACAGAATCTGAGTCAAATACTCAAAAGAATTAAGGGTGAGAAACTCTTACCTAGAGATAGACTTTAAAAAAAAAACAAACAGTTTTACTCTGTTGCCCACGCTGGAGTGCAGTGGCATTATCATAGCTCACTGCAGCCTCTAATGCCTAGCTTCATGTGATACTCCAGCCTCAGCCTCCTGAATAGTTGGACTGCAGGCACAGGACACCGTGCTGTTCGGTAGAGATAAGGAGAGAGGAAGAGGAACAGATGTTTTGTCTATAATAGAGACTGACCAACCGAAAAGAGGTAAAGAAATCACGAATTGGAGATATGGCTAAAGCCCAACTGTATTGAACTGGGACATGCACACTGTGAGATTTCAATTGTCCTTAAATGACCTGGTATTTATTACCATCTAATTAGCATTACAGTTTTGATCCCCCTAATGAGCTTTCATGAAGGATTCTAGGAGGACGTATACACACAAAGAGTTATATAAGAAGATCTGCCAATCATACAAAGGTGGGAAAAGAAACTCAACCCAAGGAGAGGAGGAGTAGTCCAAGTTATCATATAAAAACACATGTGCGCTGAAAACCCAGGGTCGTCTCTGCTCACAGAGATAGACCCATTCCCTCTCTGGAATGTACCGTGATTAATAAATCATGGTCCTTGGCTCAGTTATATCTGTTTGGCCTGCTCATTTATTCCATCAACTCAGTCTCAGTAAACATTCTACCATACTGCAATAAGAATCAGGAAACACACAAACCTAACATTTTTGTGCCGAAACCCGTGAAGAAATATTCACATCTCTCAGTAAGGTAAGATGACGGAAACCATGTGAGAATGGTTCTGAGGCTTTCTTGAAACTTGCTAGAAATCCTGATGTTCACTCTGCCTACCACATGTTACTTCTTACACCTGCATCTCTCACTGTCTGCACTTTCCAGAGGAGGTTTCTCTTTTGCTTCAGTAAACATTCCCCACTCCCTCCTCCTCTTCTTCCTCCTCCTCCTCCCCCTCCTCTTTCTCCTCCTCCTCCTCCCAGCCCCTCCTTTGCTGGTGAGCACGATTGGCCTGGCCTCAGGGTGGACTTTCTCTGTCTGAATTTCCGTTATGGCACACTCTCTCGTTCCAGGGTGTCTTAGCCTCCCTCCCCACCCTCCAGACCTGCAGGCCCAACAGGGCAGAACCGTCTGTCCCTCTTCCTGTGGGAGTCCTGGCAATGCTGGATGTGGTGGTCACATTGGTCCCATAGTTTTTGGGGAGGTTGTGTGAAGAGATTTGGGTCTTTCAGACCCAGAAGCACCTCCGTGTTTGTTGATGTATGGTGCTAACTGAGTTTCTGTGACTTATACGTGGGTACTGTGGGTTTTGAACTCTAGATGGAATCCTTGCACCAGTAAACCACCAAAGTCCTCTGCAAGCAATAGAGCCTGTCTCAACCTCCGTCTACAAAAAACAGAGCTTTGTGCTTTCACCGTTTTCTACTCAAGAAGGTACACGATCCTTCACTTTCTTAAAATTCTTAATTCAATGCCATGAAATGTGGTTTCCTTATGTAAAGCTACTTCTTTCTTTTTGTTTCTGTCTTCGTTAGAAATGTCAGGTTTGTCATTCCACATCGCGTCCTTGGATGAGAGCGGGGTTCTCAACGTGTGGGTGAGTAGGTGGCCTGGGTGTGTGCACCCGCACACGCGTGCACATGTGCAGGGGTCCTGAATAAAGTTGGAGGTCTAGGGGAGACGGCACCTGGGCTGGTGGGTCGGGGGGGACCGGCTGGACGGAGAGACAGAGCATGGCGTCCCCTCGCCGTGAGGAGGGAGACGGGGTTTATACTCTGCCAGGGGGGCCCTTTCATGGCAGCTCCGTGGGAACCTCACAGGCCTGGGGAGTTGGACAGGAACTGACAGCGCTGGGCTGGGAAGGACAGGCCGGTAGTCTCACTAGGTGGGCCAAGGCCGTGGCTGTTGGTTAAGTCGCTGTGGGAGGAGTGTGAGAAAGGGAAAGAGGAGTTAACATCAAAATATGAATTCTAAATTTAATGATCAGCCTTCTTTTCTCTCTCAATATTCATCTTCAATGTTCTTCTTTTAGGTGGTTGTTGAATTGCCAAAGGCGGACATGGCAGGTTCAATAAGTGATTTAGGTAACTATTAAATAGACCTAATTAATTTTAGTCAGTGTTTTCTAAAATGAATAGACTACAGATACCCGTAACTGCTTTGAAAAATATATAATTAGCTACCTGAAAAATGAACTGTAAAGTTATCTATGATATATTGACTATTGAACAGGCACCTCTGTTAATGAGAATGATCGAATGACATTCGGAAGGGATTTTTTTGCTTTAGTGAGGGTTGGCACGTTCCACTGATAGCCGGGTGTCGTCCTGTCCTGGAAGGCACGTCAGAAGGTTTCTGTGTCCGTGAGCACCCCAAGTCGGGCCTTCTCCCTTTGGTGTCAGAGTCACCACCCCAGGCGAGTCCCACAGTGGCTCCCGAGAGCCCTGAAAGGCCCCAAATCTGGGGGAGCAGAAGCCACTGGGGCGAAAGCAACCGCATCTCCTGCACTTGGTGCTCTGATGCCATGGAGTGTGGGTTTCACTTTCCAGAGGGGCTCGGGCGATATGGAAAGATCCAGTCCTGGTGCGTCCTGTGTGGAGGTTATCCGTGTTCCAAATTCCACCTTCTAATCTGCTCGTTGCTCCCCACAGCTTCTGACGAGGAGCCCTGCTCACCTTATTGGTGTCAGGGGTGTCTCCCCGGGTAGATCTGGCAAAAATGTGATGGGGTGAGGCTGGCTTTGTTCCCAATTTCTTGAAATTAGAGAAGAGGGGCCCTTTGTATCTATGCAGCAAATACAGCATGATTCATGTAGAAATAGAAATAACGTTGATGTCACGTAGAAGGTTACTGTAGACTCTAACACAAATAAGACAGAAGCTTTCATTAATTTCACTGGTGAGTATTTCTGAGGTGGAGTAACCATTTTCCTCAGCATTTTCATCCCGTAGCATTTTCATCTGCTCATTATGAAACCCCTCTGCTCTGTGTGGTCCTCCTGCATCCTAGACTTTGCAAGTTGCTCCTAGACGTTCAGAATATCAGAGCTGGAGGGAGCCTTTGAGGTCCCCTGGTCCCTCCTCCTCAGTGTGCGCAGGTCGCTGATGTGGGTTGGCGTCGGGCCAGACTCACCCCGCTGGTCCTGAGCCTGGCGCTGCCCTCCCGCCTGGTTGTCCCTGGTGCCCAGCATCCTGTGGCCTCAGCACCCGTCTTGAGGCTGGCTCTGCTGTTAACCTGTTACACAGCAAGACATTTTTCCAGCAATTATTGATGATGCTAAGGGGTTAAAGATTTTCTGTCCACAATTATGTCATCATCTGGCCATGGAGACAAAATTATTTTGCATAAAATATATTTGTATAAAAATGTTTTATACAAATAAAACATGAGATAATTATAAAGATGATACCATAGGGTGGTGTGTATTTCGTTTTTAAATGTTGCTATGAAAAAACACCCTTTGTCCATTGAACCACTTACCCAAACTCCAGCCCTGTTCCAGTGCTGCCTTTAGCAAGGGGGGGACAGCAGCCAGACCAGCAGCAGTCCAGGGCGCTCTAGGCTCTCCATGTGGGCATCAGATGAGCGGCTGTTGGCAGGCTGACACCACAGTTTTCTTTCAGTTTTTATGAACCGTTTTCTGAACAAGCTGGGCCCAGTCCTGGGGCCTGGGAAACAAGGGCCAAATCAGTGGCTAGGGAGATGCCACCGTGATGTTACTGCAGGGCAGAGACCCCCATGGGAGGTGCCTCCAGGTGGGCGGTGCTGGGGAAAGGGAAGAGTTTAATGTGTGTGAACAGCAGCACTGAGCATTCTGCATCATGGTTATAACCAACAGGGTGACACACAGTACAACTGTTAATACTGCACTTGGATTTGTTTCTGTCTACTTTTAATTCAGCTGCCAAAGTTCTAGGCAGTGCCTTGCCCAGAATTTGAGTTTTAATATCTGTAAATTTCTAGTTCCTCCCTTTGCAGTAGCTAAAAAACTGGCGCTGGCTGGGCATGGTGGCTCACGCCTGTAATCCTAGCACCCTGGGAGGCTGAGGCAGGCGGATTGCTCAAGGTCAGGAGTTCAAAGCTAGCCTGAGCAAGAGCGAGACCCCGTCTCTACTACTATAAATAAAAATAAATTAATTGGCCAACTAATATATATAGAAAAAATTAGCCGGGCATGGTGGCATATGCCTGTAGTCCCCAGCTGCTCGGGGGCTGAGGCAGCAGGATCGCTTGAGCCCAGGAGTTTGAAGTTGCTGTGAGCTACGCTGACGCCACGGCACTCACTCTAGCCTGGCTCTGGCACTCACTCGCAATAAAGCGAGACTCTGTCTCAAAAAACAAAACAAAATGGGTGCTGAAGCTGGAAACAGGCTGGGAGGCCCGGCCAGCAGGTGGTCGAGGGGTCTGGCTGTGGCCCAAGCACTTCAGGAGAACAAGGGAAGGAGGGTGAAGCCAGGCTCTGGAGCCCTGGCTCCATGCCGTCTGAGAGGAGTCGGAGGAGCTGGTGGAGGAGGGTCATGTGCACACTGCGCGTCTGCCTTTGGGACTGTGAGGGGTCCCGAGCGTCTGCTGGTCCTGGTGCCTTAGTGGGCATCCACTGCGCCATGTTGGATGTGTGGTCACATGGGTGAGTGCCCACCTGCTGCCTCCTTTTATCAAATCTGAAGGTGCGAGGGCTTCTGGGTCTTGATTCCATGGTTTTCCCGTCAAGGCTCGGAACTGCAAATTGTTGGTTCTCACTCTCAGGCGATGTGTGCGAACCACCCCCAGCACTAGGGAGGGGACGTCTTCGACTTACGTTTTGACATCATTTCCTAACGCAGATAGTAAGCAATGAGAAACGATTCCAGGCAGCCGCAGTGAGATTCTGATTTAACTTGTGTTGGAAGGTGTGTTGACTTCTGGCCATGTCTACTTTCAGGCCTGCTCCCTGGAGGGAGGATCAAGCTGGTGCACAGCGCCGTGATCCCGCTGGGACACAGGTGAGCTTGAGTGAGAGCGCGCCCCTTTTCCCGGGACTGTTTCCCACAGGAGGAGGTGCCTGGGGAGCTGCACCTGCGCAGCATGCCTGGTCAGTCTCGGCCGTGAAGAGATCCACTGTCTCCATTGAATTTTTTCTATTTAATTACTGTATTATTAATGAGTGAATATAATAAATATAACTTCCAGGTGTGCAGCTAACGTTTTTACATTTTTCTTCAATCAAAAAATATTTTCCATCCTATAAATTGGTTCTATTTGACTTTTCCTCATCTAGCGTTTTTTTTTTTGGTTTTTTTTGAAACCAAGTTTTGCTCTGGGGTAAGAGTGCAGTGGCGTCATCGTAGCTCACTGCAGCATCCAACTCCTGGGCTCAAGTGATCCTCCCACCTTAGCCTCCCAAATAGCTGGAATTACAGGCGCAGGCCACCATGCCTGGCTAATTTTTCTATTTTAGTAGAGACAGGGTCTCACCATTGCCCAGGCTGGCCTCGAACTCCTGACGACCTCAAGGAATCCTCCCTCTTCAGCCTCCCAGTGTGCTGGGATTACAGATGTGAGCCACCCCACCCAGCTCTCATCCCTTTTTTGTTGGTTTTTTTTTTTTTTTTGAGCAAAACTGCCAGAAGATCTCATCCAGTTTTAATGCAACCCTAAAGTTAAATTTAGATGACATTTTTGGAAGCAGAAACATTGATAGAAATTTTATTCGGAGATTTAGATTTCTAATTTCATTCATAACTTAATATGACATCAAAATCCTTAATAATGTACAAATATTGTTTGTGGTACTTATGTTTCATATTTCTTATACATGAAACATAAAATAATTTGTTTAGGTTTTTTTCCCTAACATATCTTTTCATTTACTGCACTCGGGCTAACTGTCAACATGTGAATTACTGTTGAAAGATTTTGGGACCTGTTTCCTCCTCGTTAGAAAGAATACCTCTGCGTTGTGTTAATGAATTCATACATGTTTAGAGAGTTTAAATCAATCTTATTTGATTTAAATATAACTATGGAAATGAATCACTTATGTGTAGAAAGGTCACCTCACATGTTGTGGAGCCAGGTTTATACTTGTCTCCTGGGCTGGTCACCAGACCGGAGCATGTGCAGCCACCCATACCCTGCATTGTACTTATTTTTTAACTATGAATTTCTCCTATATTCAACTATACATTCTTTGAAGGAAAGTGTATAATCTCTCGGACCTCAGGCTCAGTGTCTCTGAGCAGTGTCTCTGGGATATGTGCATAATAAGCATTCAGACTTAGCCAAAGGTGTTGAGTGTGTCCCACGTGCCAGGCTTGTGGCACTGAGGGACAGTGTCCCTTCCCAGGAGGTACAGCAAGTGAACACTGCAGTTATTGCTCTGGAGTCCCAGCTTTTAGGGGAAGACGCCTGTGGAGTGAGGCTCAGTGTGAGGATGTTTCTTAGGGAGTTCCTTGGGTGCAGCCCCTGGGCAAGGCGGGGAGGAGGTAGGATTGGGCTGACAGGAGGAGCTGAGCTGTTACAGGGCTCGAGACAGCCTCCCTGCCCTGGACCTCTGAGCTGGAGTGGCTCCCAGAACTGGCACAGCAGGCCTGGCTACCACTCTGCTCTCAGTCACAATGAGCCTGGGCATCCCCTGGGGATGTGTCACTTTGGGTGAAGTGGCCCTCCCAGCTGTATACCATAAGCACCCCAGAAGCTACCCCAACAAGCCCTTCACTGAGGGGGGTTCCTGGGCTGCCTTTCCTCATCCACAGAGTACAGAGTGCTCAGTTCAGGTGTGAGAGGGGCTGTAGGAGCTCAGAGGAGAGTTGTGTGGAGACTGTTGGGGTGTGTGGGGCTATGAAGCTCAGAGGAGGTTTGTGTGGAGACTGTTAGGGTGTGTGGGGCTGTAGGAGCTCAGAGGAGAGTTGTATGGAGACTCTGTTAGGGTGTGTGGGGCTGTAGGAGCTCAGAGGAGGGTTGTGTGGAGACTGTTAGGGTGTGTGGGACTGTAGGAGCTCAGAGGAGAGTTGTGTGGAGACTCTGTTATGGTGTGTGGGGCTGTAGGAGCTCAGCGGAGAGTTGTGTGGAGACTTTGTTAGGGTGTGTGGGGCTGTAGGAGCTCAGAGGAGGGTTGTGTAGAGACTCCGTTAGGGTGTGTGGGGCTGTAGGAGCTCAGAGTAGGGTTGTGTGGAGACTCCGTTAGGGTGTGTGGGGCTGTAGGAACTCAGAGGAGGGTTGTGTGGAGATTGTTAGGGTGTGTGTGGCTGTAGGAGCTCAGAGGAGGGTTGTGTGGAGACTGTTAGGGTGTGTGGGGCTGTAGGAGCTCAGAGGAGAGCTGTGTGGAGACTGTTAGGGTGTGTGGGGCTGTAGGAGCTCAGAGGAGGGTTGTGTGGAGACTGTTAGGGTGTGTGGGGCTGTAGGGAGCTCAGAGAGAGGGTTGTGTGGAACTCTGTTAGGGGTGTGTGGGGCTATGGAACTCAGAGGAGGTTGTGTGGAGACTTGTTAGGGTGTGGGGCTGTAGGAGCTCAGAGGAGAGCTGTGTGGAGACTGTTAGGGTGTGGGGGCTGAGGAGCTAAAGGAGATTGTGGGAGACTGTTAGGGTGTGTGGGGCTGTAGGAACTCAGAGGAGGGTTGAGTGGAGACTCTGTTAGGGTGTGTGGGGCTGTTGGAGCTCAGAGGAGGGTTGTGTGGAGACTCTGTTAGGGTGTGTGGGGCTGTAGGAGCTCAGAGAAGGGTTGTGTGGAGACTGTTACAGTGTGGGGGGCTGTAGGAGCTCAGAGGTGGGTTGGGTGGAGACTCTGTTAGGGTGTGTGGGACTGTGGGAGCTGAGAGGAGAGTTGTGTGGAGACTCTGTTAGGGTGTGTAGGGCTGTAGGAGCTCAGCGGAGAGTTGTGTGGAGACTCTGTTAGGGTGTGTGTGGCTGTAGGAGCTCAGAGGAGAGTTGTATGGAGACTCTGTTAGGGTGTGTGTGGCTGTAGGAGCTCAGAGGAGACTTATGTGGAGACTCTGTTAGGGTGTGTGGGGCTGTAGGAGTTCAGAGGAGGGTTGTGTGTAGACTGGTAGGGTGTTTGGGGCTGTAGGAGCTCAGAGGCGGTTTGTGTGGTGACTGTTAGGGTGTGTGGGGCTGTAGGAGCTCAGAGGAGAGTTGTGTGGAGACTCTGTTAGGGTGTGTTGGGCTGTAGGAGCTCAGAGGAGAGTTATGTGGAGACTCTGTTAGGGTGTGTGGGGCTGTAGGAGCTCAGAGGAGAGTTGTGTGGAGACTGTTAGGGTGTGTGGGGCTGTAGGAGCTCAGAGGAGGGTTGTGTGGAGATTCTGATAGGGTGTGTGGGGCTGTAGGAGCTCGGAGGAGAGTTGTGTAGAGACATGTGGAGACTTCCTGTTAGGGTGTGTGGGCTGTAGGAGCTCAGAGGAGAGCTGTGTGAGACTGTTAGGTGTGGGGGCTGTAGGAGCTCAGAGGAGGGTTGTGTGGAAGATTCTGATAGGGTGTGTGGCTGTAGGAGCTCGGAGGAGAGTGTTGTAGAGAACTCTGTTAAGAGTGTGGGGCTGTAGGAGCTCGAGGGGAGTTGTGTGAATCTTGTTAGGCAATTGTGGGGCTGTAGGACTCAGAGGAGC